CTCCATTTCAGGCATACGCCCAACAGCTCCGCCTTAACCCTCGTAGGCCTTGCCCTTTGTTCTCGTGAAAAAATTAAGTGCGCCCATCGTCGGGGGCAGAGCTTGGCAAGGATAACAGATAGCTGCACAACACAACGAAGTCAAACTGGGGAATTGGGTTTCAGAAGCGGCGAGCGTGCTTGTGCCGACGGTATGGTACTTCTGAAGAAACAGATACATGTACCCCTCTATAAGCTATGTCCTTCCGTACACCATGATGTCATCCCACCCCACAAAATGCTCAACCCTAAAACCCTAAGCCCATCTGCCTTACAGAAAGTCCACAACATCCTTAAGTGATCGGAGAACTATATGGGAACCTTGGGGAGCCTTGTGACACAGTATGAGCATTAGGAAGTATCAGAAGATTCTTAAGATACCTAACCCTCCTCGTACCATTCCCTGAATCCCTTCCCCCTGATATCTAAACACTCGCCACCCCCTTCACAGGATGGATGTGACATATTGTGTAATGATCTAGTGTAGTGGTGCTACGCTGCGAGTGTTTCTTGGTGACGGACCCGGGGGGATCGTTGCTTGGGGATTGGGACCTCATTGGCCCCACAGCAGAGATGCAGTCGGTGGGTGGCACCTCTTCCCAATAGCTCTGTTTGGACCATCCAGTGAGCAAGGCATTGCCTGACACGGGATTTTTCCCCAATGCGGCCAGGGGGGACACCGTCACCGTACTGGGAGGTCTTTCTTGCATGCAGTACTTTGTCCTGCGTAAATGGGGGGTTGTCTCAGAAGATGGTCTCCTCAAGGGACCCTACGTATATACATACATATATAGAGGAACTGTGAGGAAACATGATGGATTTGAAGGCGTTCGGGATTCTGTAGGTTTTTTTTTTGACAGACCCAATACGTTGGGACGGAAGGAAAATGCGAATCCTATTCTTGCTGGGGGACTAGACTCCACCCACAGAATCATTCTTCAAGTTCCGGAACACCGACGTCCGCCAGGCCATTTAAACTTTTGCCGACTGCACCGAACATACTCCTGTCCTTTAAGGATCCCTATCTTTGTTTTGAGAAGGTCATTCCCTGAGCTTTCAACCCTGATCTGTTTTTGCGGTGCGGAACCTACAGCAACCGTGGATTAGGATGCTTGTTAGAGGACTGTTGGGGTACTCCATACAATCACTGAGAAGAATGCCCGGCTCCCCCTCAGAACCCCAAAAACACGCTGGTTGCAACAGACAGAAGCCACCCCGCGACTGCACTCTATTCTACCTACTAGACCTAAAAGCGCGTGGCTTCTCGAAGATGCCCTCCATGGTGACTACCTTCCGCTAGTCACCATATAGCCCCGCCCGTCTTGATCAATCTCAAAACCCCTAAAACCATGCCCTGGAGCCGGAGCCCTGAATCCCATATATCCTATATCTCGAACGTGGTCTGACTGGCTGGGTAGGTGTGTTTTTGTCTTCCTGAATTCCCTGAATCCTGTTGTAATAAGAGGTGTTGAAATTCTATAGCCCAGGGAACCCCCCAATCTCTGCCATTAAAGGCCCTGTAGACCCCAAACCCCAAAAAAGCTCGAATCGTAACTTAAGTCTTAAACATTGTGAAATCGAGCGCTGACAATTTGAGAGAACTGAAGCTTGATAGCCTCACAATCAGCAGGCGATGAGAGGATCAGATTCTCTAGATTTCCAAATACATAGGAAGCCCTGTGTGTACCCCAATATACGTAATTCCTTAGTATGGTTACCTCGAAACAGAGCCTTTAATTTTTGGAATGTCGCCATTTTGCAATGACCCAGGGATACCATGCAGAGGTGAGCCCTCGCATCCGAGGGACAGTGCAGAAGATCTATCTTGAGGCGGTGCTCCCGCAGCTCCCGCAGCGCCAACTCCCCGTCGACCGGAGCCGCATCCTCACAAAAAGTGTTTAAAGGGATTTGAGGGTCCATGGGGGGTAGCAATAACTTGAGGGTTAATGGGAATCGAAAATCACATGGAAAAGCAAATGGGTCATAACATGCAAGGTCAGGGCTTATAAGGATATATATATATGTATATATACACATGGTGTAGGGTGAAGTTGATGGCTGTCACTAGCACATGAAGAAGTGGAAAAGAGTTGCAAACTACTGACGTAAGTACTATACTAGTAGGCATCATCTGAGCCACAGTCTACACCCCTAATATCCCCCTTAATAACCCCTGTAGCAGTCCCCTATATAATCCCCTGTAAGGAGTTTAGACTATGGCATCATATAAGGTCTGCTGTAGCAATCCACTCCTCCCTTTCCTAGAACTGAACCATCTACAAGTTGAAGGCTTCACAGCCCTCCCTCAGAAGCCTTCCAGTTTCTTTGTTAGGGAAGAAAAGTAAGTCTGTGACCACAATTTCCCAAAGCGATTTGAAATTCCTAGCCCAGCAAGAATACCTACACAATCCTACTGCACATCGTAGCTAGTGAAAAGTCGTGTTCTACTGGGCGTATTCGTTTCAGAGGGTTGGTGGGGGTTCCTGGCAAATGAGGAAACCCTACCAGAGAGGAGCTGCTGGCCAAGCAAAGGACTTCAGTTCCAAGAGACATTATGTTAGAGGGGGGTTCTCCAAACAGGGCCTCGGGATCTATCACGATTACTGAGGGAGGGGGGCGGGGCCGGATTAGGGACTCAAACAAGAATAACTTGAGAAATTCATGCATCAGTTTGAAGACTGCACACACCCAATGAGGCTAGGTATCTACACAGCATATGCTAGGGACCCAGACAAGTTCCTGTATAGGTGCCTTGAAAGCGAACTACAATACAGGCACCTGGACCCCTTGGAACTGGACCGGATAGCACTGAACATTACCAGCTGCTCCGCCTGCGCGCAGGTGCGCAGCAGCGTAGTTGCCTGCTTGGGCGAAAGCACCATCGGCTGGCTGGATCCTTCTTGATGCGCTTGTTGCTGGCATGCTGGGCAGATGGGAGCACATAGGCTTGCTTCCTAGGCAGGTGCCATATGCAGTTGTCACTGGTGCATTGATGAGATCAAGCTTTCACTTTCAGACTAGAACCGAAGTATGGGCCCCCAACATGGGTTGTGGAGTTTCCCAGCTTCGACCCTGTGCGATGGCTTGCTGCTCTCAGACTGACAGTCTCAAATTGCGCTGGGCGTTGCTTACTCCTATCTGGGCAGTTGGATCTTCAGCCCCTTAAGTCAGGCCCCTCTAGTCCCTAAACCCTAAACCCTAAGCTGCTGAGATTTGAGCATGATGGCCGCCAAGTATGAAGACTTCAGGGGCCGAGGAGGGGAATTGCGGGGGGGTTTTACATGTCCCTCAGGTGGCCCCCCCGCCCAGTAATAGTGACTATAAGGGATAATAAGGCTATTAGGGTCCTCTTATATTCCTTGTATACCACTATTACAGGGTGGGGGGGGGTCCTCCTAACATATCCCCCAAGTATTGTAGTATACCAGAATGAGAACACCGAATGTTAGGGTGACTCCAGGGTGACAGTTTTTGTTCAATATCAAGGAGGGAGGATATGAGAGGATCACATCGGGCACCTATCTCAGCCTAAAACACTGGACCTCTGCATATCCAAAATCCAACAGCTCTTCAATCAAGGTCACAAACTCCAGAACCCTAAAGCTTTAAATCCGAAGCCCAGAAACTTATCTGCAACGGCGCGGAAAATTTTCCGGTTTGAAACCGCTTGGCCCTGCAGAAGATATCCACGCGTGTCCCTGCAGTGTTGATTGAACCCGAACCCATGTATAGATATACGCATATCATGCAAGGCATTCCGCATATGCACTATATTGTGCAGAGTTGCCGTGATATGCCGCGTTTTCCGCACTTTGCGTTTCCACTTACGAAGAAGTTCTGCAGTTGTTCCTTGCCGCTACTCCGACGCAACTAGGTCACTTGTTTATTGAGGATCTTGGGATTTCTTACGCAGTGCGCCTTCTGTGGGATTGTGATCTGGCAGGCAGCACAGGCGTTTACATAAGATCAACGCAAACTCCGCGGGTTGCAGAAAACCTTGGCTTACGCACTTGCATGTTACGAAATCTTAAACATTCAGGACCGGTAGCTTCAAATCAGAATGTGCCTACTAAAAGCTGTAAGCTATCCCCCGTTTGGGGGCTTTATCGGGGACAGGTATTGCTGACTCACTGACCGCTTTCAGGAGCCCTGGCCAGACTTCTGGAAAAAATGCGAATTACACTTTGAGCAGTCATCACACCTTTCACCGACCGAGCCAACGCCCTATCCCCAATATGCTATAGTGGTTTCCATTTTCTTTTCCATTATCCCCTATATATACCATACCCCCCAATATATACTAAGACCCTAAACCCCAAAATTTCATTTTTGGTGTCATGCCATATTGTACAAAATGCACGTGGAATGGTCAGACTAATTGGATTGCTTGCTCCTTGAAACTGGAACCTGTTTCCGATGGCCTGTTCCCGTGCTCTGCAACACCCAAGCGTGTGCAGACTCCCATGCTCTGCAACACCCAAGCGTGTGACAAGCCTGTGCAGCCTGGCGTTCGCTGAAGTCGACGTACTACGTCACCAGAATGCACTTTCTGGACCAAAGGGGCATCACACAAGGTTGCCGGGATTGAGCTGGCTTCGTAGCGCTTCTCCAAGTTCACCGGAGCAAGGTCACCTACGTCTTGCGTCATCTTAAGGATGCGTTCGGCCATATGGCCATATTCGAGAGCTCCGTTTCTAGTACAGTACGAGATCCTGTCACGAAGCTTCAGACTCCTTCTCTGACGATGCTGCTTCTGCGGCCTGCCACCGATGCGGCGCACTGTGCTTGGTCTTCTTGGCTGAAGGCATCAAAGCCACGTGCTCGTAGCAAGCCAGCGGTCCTTTGTAGGACTACAACGTCCTGGGTTGTGCTTTACACCATGCGAAAATCAGTTTTAGTCAGTCATGTGCCTCCATACTTAACCATGAAGATCAAAAACCTGCCAAAGGAAGATCCGCTAACGGCGTCCGTGATGCCTTCATTGTGAAGCCGCTGGTTTCGACCATCATAGTCCTGGCTTGCTGTCAAGGCTCTTAGACTAAGTTACCATTAAGATCATGAGGAACCACAGTTGACTCTCTACCAAGATTATGGCTCATTTAGTTATATAATCCCCCGTGGGTAGATAGAATATGGGGTATATGGGGATCTTACTACAATATGCCCAAAGCCATATTCTATCTACTTTAAGGGGCCTATACCCCCTAAAAGCAGCACAGAATCCTTTCGATCGTTGTAAGCCAAGGCCGACTCAGATGGCCTCAAGAAGATCATCGGCAAGGCAATGCAGGGGCGGCTGGGATACCGAGCCCAGTAGTCGCCATTGTTGTACCACTTGAGCTCGTGCCTCTATCTGCCCTCAAACCCTCAACTTTCTCAGCTGTCTGTTGGAGGTGTACAAAAAGTGAGTTTAGGAAGTCGGGCATGGAATTGAATGAGCAAAGAAAGAAAACCCAAACCTCAAACATCTTCAGTACATGCTTAGGTACCTGCTGCACCTGGAGCAAGGAATCGATACGTTGTAGGCTCCACAGCGTCTCCTTTCTCAGCTCTGGATTTAAGGCTGAGGGCTTCATCATCTTCACCCACCCCATATATTGGGGTAATGGAAAAGAAAATGGAAACTACTATAGTATATAGGGATTATATTGGGGCTATATTGGGGTAATGGAAAAGAAAATGGAAACTACTATAGTATATAGGGACTATATTGGGGCTATATTGGGGTAATGGAAAAGAAAATGGAAACTACTATAGTATATTGGGGCTGTATTTGGAGAATGGAAACACAACATGTGCTGGTACTGGCTTGGGGGGTATTCTCATTGTGCGGGGGAGCCATCATTGCAAGGGCGCACTGCTTACAAATCACACTTCCATTGCCTTCCATGGAGAAAAATAATATGCGAGGATCCCGCAAGGTCAATATTCAAAAGAAATGAGCCATTGTCTAAACTCCTAGTATCCCCGTTAATAAGCCCTATAGTAGTCCCCTATATAATCCCCATTTAAGGAGTTTAGACTATAGCTCAAATGTGCTGAAATCAACCTCAGTCTCTGAGGGTAGATGCAGGAGAGAGGAATTCCGCCTAACCAACACTGGTACGGAGAAGAACCGGCAAGAAAACACCGGTCCTCAGGGACGGAGGGATCCTGAGTCAGTTCAGCCTTCAGTTCGTACGCAATAGAGAAAGAGATTTCTAACTGGGTTCATTTAGTCCCCGAGAGTCTTTCCCGACATCACAAACCACGTTCGTCGTGATGACGAAGCTATTCAGGTGCGTGTTTTGGCCAGTCAATCTGTGTTGGCGAATTCTTTCCTGGATCACGCTTCGGATTTCGAGAGCTATAAGCAGGATTCCAGACTTGGGGAGTAGGATGAGGATTCTGAGGGGCTACTGTTTACGGGCGAGATTCGTCTTCAGAGCTACTTGTGTACTTGTGGGCTAAGCACCGGCGATTCTTGCATAAGTCTTGTGGCAAAGTGGTAGTTTCCCTAAAATAGGGGGACCCCAATACAGACACCCAAATACTATAGTCCTTTGTATTGGGGCCCAAAAGGGTACCCCTAATGTTGGAAAACTCCTATATATGAAAATTGGGTACTGGATCTGTGCTGCAGACGTACCTGAAAACTTCCAGCTTCGGCCAGCTGTCAGATAGACCCCTTCCTATTCCGAGAATGTTTGACGTTCAGGTTCAGGGTCTAGGTTATGTTCAAAGAAAAGAGATCACAAAAGGATCACCATCTCTGTCTTTGATGAGGCAACTCCTGCCTTGGTTCAGGGAAACCCCTACAAGAAGCAGAAAGTCGAAACGCACATGTACAAATATTCATAGAAAGCTCCTGCTGCGTCAAGACGAGTCCTTCTGCCCAACGAACCCTGACAACAGCCTGTGACAAACGAAAAGTCCTTTCCCTCTCCAGGCAGTCCCAGTAAATCCAAAAAAACACTTTAAACTTCTCACGCATGAACTGGGGGTCATGTACCCAATCATATTGTCATCCTTATTAGGGGGACCCGAAAGTCCTAGAAACCCACCATCCCTATGACTCAGCATGAGGACCTTCCTGAGCCCACCTGTAAGAGACCCACTGCCCTGAACCCGTAAACCATGAACCCCTAAACCCGAAACCTTGAACCCCTAAATCCCTAAACCCCAAGCGGGCCCGGCTGCTCCTAGCCCGGACGAAGCCCGCAGCCGTACCTGGAAGCAGGGAGGTCACGCAAATCCGTCCCCAGACGGTCCAAGTACCCAATAACTAGGTACCCTCGGTTTTGGGGGAATAGTAATTATAGTACAGGTTTTGGGTAAGTATATGAATAGTAGGTACTTATTGGACCCTTGGGAGCCAGGAATTGCTGACGTCGTTTGTCTTGCTGGCTCTTAGTAGGGAATGAGGGAAGACATTTTAGAGGGATAATATATATATATATATATCTATGATTGTATGCCCTTGTTATTCCCTACTAAACCCTAAACCCCGGTTTAGGGCTTAGGGTTGCTAACCTCCAGTAAGAAAACAGGAGCTACTGACATCGTTTGTGCCAAAGGGGCTAGTCGAGCAGGGAGACTCTTAGCTGCTGGGGTTCCGTCTTCGTTCGGGTGGCTATTGTTGTCATTGTCTAATCACGCGCCAATATTTATATTCCCATTGCATGTATAATATATTGAGTATATTCAGCCTTAGAAATGTGGGGAATGTTTAGTAATAGGGGGAGGGGAATATGCTTCGCTCATGGGCTTGGAAAAAGCTCTGGCAGCGCAGGGATGAGGGCATCCGGAGATTCGAGCGCTGAGCCAAAAGCCTACCTGAAACGCCAAGTGCCTCAAGTGCACCACTGCAGTCTGGGGCAAAAATTGACACTTTGGGGGCCCAAATTGACAATATGGGAGCTCCAACTGACAATCTGGGGGCCAAGGTTACCACTCTGGGGGTTAACGTTAACCATCTGGGGGCCCTAGTCTTAAGCCCTGGGAACTTGTGTGGGGGTTAAATCGAACTCAAGTTTGCTTGTTGAAACGTCCGCAGCTCATACCTGTAGAACAACCCCACGTTAAAAAAGTCCCAGCACCTGATGACCATATACTTCCCAAAAGAGCCTTGAACAATGAGGACAAGAGTGTTGACGCTGATGACTTTCTTGATAACACGCATACATCCAGCATGTCTTCCAGTTATTTGGATGCATCTGCTGGCTGCAGCTTGTATATCAAGCGCAGGGGTCGTCTTCCAGATCTCCTTTATCTACACGTCGCCGAACGCTGCATCCTGTAAACAGCACGGCGCTCGAATCCGCAAGTCGAGTACACCCTATTCTCACGTCAGCGCACTTGAAATTCAACGTATCCGATCATGACTTGGATCAGTTTCCGATATATTCGCGAATCTTAATTCACATAATTTCGTTCCGCCAGTCCCTGCCATACACCAGGGAACTTGGAGGAGGGTAAGTGCCGAGGCCTAGTCGTAACTGATGAGCAAACCCTACCTAGACCCCTACACCCAACCCTTTTTGGGCTAAACAGATTTATGTCTAGAAGATACTAGACACTAAGTTAGGTTAGCTAGGTCCCCTTCAAGAGACGGTAGGGTCTAGGGTCTAGGGGCTACATAAACCCCAAATCAGAAATCAACGCCAGCCGAGATGCTTCAGGTCCTGTGGGGAAGGGCTCACAGCCCGCAGCTTGTGATGCTGGACTTGCTCCTACCGGGGTGCTTTCTACCTACGCAGTTGAGAAGTTTAGGGGTCATGTGGTAGGTTGTCAAGGGAATGTCAGGCGCTGCGAAGTCATGTCTGTAGGGGTATGTGGGATTCAGGGTTCAGGTTCTGTTGAACATTGTCAAAAAGGGCGCCCTTGGGGAGCGTACTATATGGGCGGCTACACCCATGCCAGCCAAAAACAAGAACCGCACAAATTTGCCAGGATTGCCAAGCCATATCCCCAAATAAATTCAAAACCTGGATCGAGACCTGTGCCCTGATCCCTAAGGCTCACAGACTACGCCCTGCACCCTTACCGCAAATCCAAAATCCGATACGGTTTTAGCTTTTAATGTAAACGAGAAACAATGCAAGTATGCACAAATCTGCGCCGCAACCTCTGTATGGATCCTATCTAGACGTTTGTCAACAGTATAATTGCTTTCTTGGTACCCTAATTTTTGGGGCCGCCATATAGTGAGAACCCCCAAAGGAACCATGCTTCAAAAACTTCCACCCCATGACCCCTATGACTTTGATCTTACGACTTTCGCACCTTCGCAAGCATCGCAAGGCTTTGCCTCGACGACCATCTTCTTTGGCCAGGCTAAGTGCATCACCTTTATAGCTTCGGATGGAATTTAAAACCTAAATCTTAGGGTTCAGGGCTTGGAGCTTCGGGTTTTAAAACTCAGGATGTAGGGCTCGTGGAGTTAGAAACTTCTATGGTGTCACTGTTCATGGTTTGGGGTTTAGGGATTAGGTCTTGCGATGTCTTGCGCTTTGCAGCTTAGGGTTCAGGATTCCAGGCTTCGGGTTGAAGGCTTCGGGGTTGGGGCTTAGTGCTTGGGAAGAACTGAAACAGTGACGCTAACTTTGGGCATCCAAATAACCCAAAGTAGGTTTTTTTATGGACGTTTTGGCCTACAGTAGGTTTTATCTGTACACCTATGTGCCTTTTCGGAACATGTGACGTTCCCTAGCGGTTTAGGGGTTATCTTCCGTGCGGTGTCATGCTATAAAAAAAGTACTCCCTGAAAGCCTACACCCCAAACTACCCTCGAAGGGCTTTAAGATTGGGATTAAGGTTGCAATCTTGGCATATAAGACTTTGAAAAAACGTTACATGGTTTTCATTGGCTATTAAATCTTGGCGCCTTTTTGATGGCAATTTGGCCCTTTATACTCAAGAGTCAAGCTGCCAGCCTGGTGGTAGTTGAGCTCGAAGAGGACCCATGCATCCTCCTCATGGTACATCCTCTGCCACATCTTGCTGGTTGTCATAAGGAATGATCAAAAGCATGCACAAAACTTGAAATCTTGCATTTTGTTAGCGAGTGGGGTTAACGACCATGGGGATCCATTCCGTTCCTTGCCGGCATTCAGTATGAGTTGTTGGAGACAGGATGTGCGACCTGTGGCGCGTGTGGAAATGAAAAATTGAGTGCAATGAGAGATACTTGAAGGACGCCTGTGCATATCGGGCCGCCGCGAGTATTTTCTTAAAACTGTCGAGTCCGGCTCTTGTAAAAACGACAACCCTTTCAGCGTGGGCTTGCTTAAGGCTGTTTAACGTGCAAGGCAAGGCATAGCGCGGTCAGCGTTATGAAATGATCAAAACATTGCCCAGTCTGTCGATTTTGCAGGTCAGGAAAAGTCTCTGTCTACATGGAGGAAAAAATTGTTCCAAATTGGGGATTGGGAATTGGGGATTGACCTATCGTTATCATGATTTGGGCAGGGATGCTTTGGTAATCAGATGTGCTCGAACATGAACGCTATTTTGGTTTGGGCATGGATGATCTGGTCAACGCAGGCTCTTGCACCATGAA